CGAAGCTCGGCACATCCACGCGCACGTATGCGGTTTGGGGGCTGCGGCTCCGCCATCACCAAACCACCTCAGCACCCCTTGGGGTGGGGGGCAGAAACACACCGGGGAGGTGTGTGTATGTGTGTGTGTGGGGGGGGTGTCAAATCCAAACCAGCAAATGGCTTCCTCAAATCCGCATGATTCGCCATGGTTTGGGAATATCTCCATTCCCTTATCCCCACGGTTGGGGCGAAGTGGCACTGTGCCACCGCCCCCCTCTGTGTGCTCCCGCTGGAAGGTGGGCAGTCCCCCCCAGGGCTCTGCGGGCGATGGCAGCCGGGCAGAGGCCAGCAGCAAGATTGCATTAAAGCCCCATCTAGAGGCCTTTCATTAAGGAGAGTTTGGGAGATGAGGACCAGCTCTGGCATTACGTTGGGCATCCTCATCCTCCCACCCGAGCAATCCCAGCTTGAGAAGAGGCAGTAAAGGACTGCGGATGGAGGCGAGGAGAAGCAAGTTTATGTGTGTATATATATATATATATCTATCTTATTGTGAGGCTTTGCCTGAGTGTTTCTCTGCTGGAAAAGAGAGTTTTAAGAGTCATTCTTCATGTGCATCTCGTAGAAGCCGGTGTGCCCAGCAAGTGGAAGGAAACTCCGGTTACTCCAGGCAGCCCCGAGGCAGAGCTCCGGGGGCATGCAGTCGGAGCAGGGTCATGGAAAGACAGCGTGACCCTCACCGTTACTCATTTCCTCTGCCCAGAGCAAGGTGCCGTAGCCGGGGTGATGCTCTGGGGTGTGCGCGACTCTTTCCGAAGTCAGGCAGCACCCAAAATAGTCACCACTTCTGCTTTCATCTGGAGGAAAGGGGAAGCCCAAGCGGGCGTTGACTCCTCCAGGGCTTTGCTGCCCATGGATGCTGATTGTCATGCTTTGGGGACCACGCAGCGGTCCTGGGTACAGCATCCTCCCTGGGGCAGCTTTGTGTCTTTCCCCATCCTTCAGCAGTCCCCAGGGTGACACAAAAGACGGGTGTTTCTGCTGAGAAGTGGTGGCCATGGCCAGTGTCCCCATAGCCACCAACAGCAGAGGGCAGTGCCACATAGGCACAGTGCTGCACTGTCACGGGCAGCGTGGGCACGCTGGCGTGTGCTCGGCGTTTTGAGTGGACATTTTTCTTCAGGGTGTTTTATATCCAGGACAGACGGGACGTACCGTAGCCAGAGCGAAGCAGCTAAGCGGACTGGATGGTCTCCAGAGGTCCCTTCCAACCCTGACCATTCTGTGACTCTGTAAGGGGTTTGGCGTTTCAAGTGACAATTTCAAAGGGCCACAACCGCACCCAGGAATGGTGCTGCTGCCAGCACCATGCCATCTTCTTTGGGACCAAAAGAAGACACTAAGGCTGGGCAAGAAGCCCCAGAGACATTGTTGCCGCACCTGCCTCTGCTTTGGCATCAACGGCAAACCTGCATCCTCCTCCTAACCCCAACCCCACCATTGTGCTTCTGTAACGGGCTCCTGTGTGCCAGGCAGTTGCGGGAATGACCTGTGAGGATCCCAGCAAAGGGTCTGGCATCCCATGGGCACTGCCGGGGTGAGCCCTGTCTCCCAGCCCCACGGGTGACACTGACCCGTGACAGCCAGTGGTCATAGTCAATGGGACACCCTCAGACAGCACAAGGCTGTTGTGGCCACCCCATCAGGCTCTTCCCAGGCACATTAGACCACAGGAGGATCTGGAGGGTGACTTCAAGTTTTCCTTCTCCATGACTCAGCCTGCCTGCAGTGCTCCAGAGTCTTTCCCACCCCAGAGGAGCCCTCACCACCATTCTCGTTATGGTTTTTGCAGGAAACCCGGCACCTCTTCTGCTTGGGGTTCCCCTTCCCTCCTTATGGCTTTGCTCCAGATGCTCTTCACTGCAGCACAGAGCCCGGGCTCCCTGTGCCCTCCAAGCAGCTCCCCTTAGAGGAGCGAGGACTTCGATCGGCTCACCGAGATCTCACTGCATGAACCAAACCTCTCCGTGGCAGCGACTCCAGCTCAGTGGGGCGGTTGAGTCATAGGAGTGCGAGAGGGAAGGAAAATACCCATGAGGTCATCTTGTTCATCCCTCGCTGCCAGTCCTGCATGGGTTCCCCACCAGATATTTGGCACTCGCTCCCAGATCAGAGTAACTCAAGGAAAGCGGCAAGAGGTGTGGACCTCACCAGGCTCGGGCTGGGCTGGGTATCCGAAGCTGTGCCCGGGATAGCTGAGAAGCCTTCAGCTGTGTTTCCTCCCTACAAATTGCCTCCGAGATGAGCCACTCACATTTCCCTTCCTCAGTTTCCTTAATTAGAAGGGGGCCTGGCACTTATCTGCCCTCCGGATACAGTCTGAAATAACAGACAAGACCCGGGAACGCTGCCTGCCCACGGGCCGTCGTTTATTCCACCGTCTCAGGGATCACACCGTGTGAGTCCCCCCTCCTGCCGCCGTCTTCATTTCCAGTTACTCTTTTTTCGCCGTCACGTGGGCTCCCAGGGTGTTTCCTCCCTTCGAGTGATCACACGCCGGCTGGAAGCCAGATTCTCCCTTCTTTTCCATCAGGCTCAAATGCAGTTGGAGTCACCTCGGGGACAGCTCTGAGCTTCAGGCAACGTGGTGTTGTGTTGTACCTCCATCCCTTCCCTCCACCCTGCCCAGCACCCATCCCTCTGGCCAGGGTCAATGATTTTGGGGGGTAGAGATGTGGTCAAAATATGCCTGTTGCTTTCAGCCAGGCTGCTGAGAGCCAAGCTTAGAGCATCCCTGCTTCCTCAGGGCTCTGGGTAGTGCAAATCACTGCAAATAAGGAGCCGTATGGTCCTGATCACCCCTCTCCCCACTCCCCTCCTGTGTCTCCCCACCTTTCCAAATGGAGAAGAGGCACTGAAGTCAGCTGCAGTGCATTACTTCAGCGTTACTGAAGGCAAAAAACAAATGAGAGCTTGCCGTGGCATGATGATCTGCAAGCAGTTCTCTATCATGGACACCCCTTCCCTCCTTTCCATCAAGAACATGGCTGGATGCAGGGAGATGGGGGTGCTGTGAAGCTGTGGTGTCCCCAGCTGGAGAAGGTGGGGGGCCACAAGCTTTGTCCTCTGAGATCCACTTGCTGTGGAGACCATGCTGGACGTGGAGCCACAGCTCATTGGGCGACACGTGTTGAGTTTTTCGCTTGTTCCTCTGTAAGCGTACCCCAAATTGGGGCAATGTGATGGAAACAGAGTCAGAATCAGGCCAGGGCACCAAGCTGCCATGGGACTGACCCCTAGCAGGGCCCCTCGCACCAAATCTCAGTGAGCCATCGGTTCCCCTAAACCTCACTCCCGTCAGAGATCTCCTCTCTTAACTGATTACAGGACCCATATTAAAATACTTTGAAAGAGACTTAACCAACAGGTCCCAATAGGCATCTGTTACACAGCAGCTAAATCTTATTAAGCATTAGCAAGCACCTTACTCCTGGCCCACGGTAACAGGCTCACGCAGATCCTTTCTGAGCATTGCCAGCTCGCGGTATAATCGGGCAATCTCATAAAATATGTTTACAAGGGGCCTCAGGAGGTCATCTAGTCCAGTCCCCCCTCCACGGCAGGAGCAGTTCCTTTATTTAATTTTTCTTAAGAGCAATCAGTAGGAATTCCGCTCTCCTGTTCTGCCACCGAGAGAAAAGAGAGAAGAAACTTTTCAGCTTTCCTAAGGCCCCTCCAAGAACTGTATTGCGTGCAAGAAGAGCAAGGGGCGATCTTTAGGAGCGCTCACATCTTTCCCCCTAATTTAAGAGGCTATCGCTTGCCAGTTACGCTGAAGGAAGGACCAAGTTCATCACCTATTTGTATCAAGTGAGCTCAAAGCATCTGCACAGACTTTCCCCAAGAGTCGTACAAGCATCATACACAGGCGGAGACGCTTGCAGCTGGTCTACCCTTGTGCATCCTTTTCAAGGACTCCTGGTGCCCTGTTACCTTTCCTCTTGGTCTTTGAGTGATGTGCAATGGCAGTGATAACCCTGCATAGGCTTGCAATACATCCAAATTAGGGCAGCCCAACCAAAGGAATCATAGAATGGTTCAGGTTGGAAAGGACCTTGAAGATCATCGAGTTCCAACCCCCCTCTGCCATAGACAGAGACACCTCCCAC